AGATGAGAAGACAACTTCATGTCTTTGTTGATAAGGTCATTTTGTCACTATATGTTCCCAAGCGAAGTAGATGCTCTTCATCTTCTTCCGAGATTACTTAATGTTTGCAGATTGTGTAATCCGTATTTGTAAGTGGTCATCCATTTGTCGAACATGCGCATGTGGAAGGGGTTTTTAGTCACTAGATTATAGAAGGGGTAAGTATGTGACCTTTATAGTTTTTTAGTTTTTTTTTTGTAGGAAATTGGGAGAAAAAAGTTCCCATTATTTATTAAAAAAATCCTTCAGATTACAATCGAACACGTCGAGGTCGTAGCGATCCATCGACAACAAACTAACTACTTCAACAGGTGCAGTGGCTAACCTATGAAAACCAAACGGAAAATAGAATGCAAGGTTGGCCAAACCATCAGCTAAGTGGTTTATCTCCCTATATACGTGGACAATACGGACTAATCAGTCCCTTGTTAAAAAGCCATGGCATAGCCGCACCAGGAAAGACGGCAGATGCTTCTCACCAATTCCCATTGTGAGAAAATCAACCACCATTTTAGAGTCAACTTCCACCTCCAACCTACTAAAACCTTTCTCCCATGCAATGAAAAGTCCATAGTAAACTATCTATAGCTCCGCCAAAGGAGCCGAACACCTCCCTATATTAAGTATAAATCCATCACACCACTCGTCCTCACCATTTCTCAACACTCCCCCTGCTGTTGTCAATCCCAAATTTCCATGAGAGGCCCCATCCGTATTCAACTTCATCCACCTCACCCAAGGAGGCGTCCAACCTATCATGATTTCAGTACTCTCACCATCAACACACTTCCCTCTCTCCACATCCCTCGCTCCCATCACCTCCTTTGTTTGGCGCTAGATTTTTATTAGTTTGATTCTTCTCTATGTGGATGACAAACAATTAAAAAAAAAAAGATTCTTCTCTATGTTTCTACTATTGTAAAAGGAAAAAACTAAAAAAAAAAAAACAGGTTTCTCTCATGACAAATAGAAAGAGAGTGACTTCGAATTGAGATAACATGGAATTTTGATGTTGTATCATCATTCACCAGTCAACATTTTAATCGGTTCAAACGCAACTCAAATTCTGTTTTAATTTGTTTAATCTTGACGACAGGCAAATTCATCAGAGTGCTATGCCATAATGTTTTGTTTTCAAAATATTGATAAAACACTATACCAATTTTCTCAGCACTAAAACAACATCTTCATTATTAAAGAAATTTAAAGTGAGTTTATAAATTAAATAATACTAAAATCACTTATGTTTGGGATACTCATTAGATATCACCCTGGAAGTGTTTTGAGAACTTTTTCAACACTAAGATCATTTGTCACTAAAATTGTCATTTGCCCAGTATTAAAGATAGATCGAACCTTTCTACATACTCATTTTCTTACAGTTCGGTCTCCTCCCAGATGAAATAATTAGTTTCACCGAATTGTATAATATTCTATATTTTTATTTTGTTTAACTTATTACTGTTGATAGTATATCCATCTTTTGATAAAATGGTTGGGATATGTTGACTTAAGTTCAAACAATGTGTCATTTGCTACGTTGAAATCTAAAAGTATCTCCAACTTCATTTCATTTTTTATTTCAAAATGAAATTTAAAGTCAAATTTGCTTTCATTTCGGTTTTCGGTCCGTAATAAAATACATAGTGGATTTATTCAATTTATGTATTTTTTGTTTAATCATTATGTCATTTTACTCCGAATGGAGTTGAGATATAATAAAACTTAAATTCATTATAAATTACTCTATTCTGAAAGAAAAAAAATTACATTACAAATGCTCTCATACTCCAAATAATGATCTGATCTAAAACCACACGACTCATATGTGTACACTGTCGTGATTACTTTTCTACCATATATTAAATTGTTACTTTTCTACCAAATCTTACTTACTGTCTGCGCGATTAGTAGCAAACAAATTTGTACCAAATTAAATGTTTACTTTTCTACCAAATCTGGCGTGATTAGTAGCAAAAGAAACAGTGATTTAAACACAGCAGCGTAATTTGTTTGTGGCCACCAATCATGTCAAATTAGTAGAAAACGAAAACATAAAATCCGCATGCCAACATTTGAGTCAGACTCTCAATTTTCTTGTTCTTGAACTTATTATTACAGCTTCAAATGTACAGAGGGAAATCATGAGGTTTGGTTCGAACTAAGCATACGTTACTTGGAAGTAGGGGTTGAGACAAGACCCCAAAGAGATGATGAATATCTCGTGTCGTCGATTATTACATGCTACTACAATTTATCATGATAGTATGTTTAGGTACATGAGACCAAAGAGATGATGAATATCTCGTGTCGTCGATTATTACATACTACAATTTATCATGATAGTATGTTTAGGTACTATACCAACAAAATTGTCAAGTTTGGGTGGGGGACCTACGAAGCTTTTCACGCGTGCTATCGTAATCCTACGGTCCGTCATGTCCGCATTAAACGGGAACCACCCAGATTGCTTCATCCAACGGCTCACACTCCCCGTGTTTGACTCTCTTCTGTCCATCCTCACACGCGTGCTCCCTCTCCTTTTGTTTCCCCACTATTGATGGTATTTTAACAAAACCTCACTTAATATAGTACTACTAATTACTAAAGATATTTTAGTTTTTGGACCTTCTATTCAAGTAACTTTAGATTGCAGTTTTCTTAATGTTCTAACAGAAATTTTAGTTAGATAATAAAATAGAAAAATCAGCATAAACTGAAACTTTTTAAAAATCTTATCAAAACACTGAACTGTATAATTAAGGTTATTTGATCGACTATGGATGAATTAAAAATCAATTATTTTAATATATAGTATATATTACCTATTAGAAAATATAAAATAAATTTAACCTTTTTGTATAAGAAACTATTTATCTTACAAAATAATTTAAACTACTATGTATGTTATTTTGAGGACATAAAATTCTATAGCCGACAAACTTGCACGCGGAGCAAAGAGTTCTTTTTCGGTTATGTTTTATGTCAATTTAACTTCTTCAGTTTGGTTTTCTGAACCAAGAGGCCTAATTACCTAATTCACATGTTGTTGTAAAAAACAGCTATGTATGTTTGGAAAACATCAAAATTGTACTAGATTATAGATAACAAAAAAAACTATATCAAATCACATCATTTTTTTCATATCATCATTTACTCAGATGACATAGTGAAATTATATCAAACTCTAAAAATAAAAGTTAAAATAGTTGAGTCAATAGATCAAAAATAGGAAAGTTTATACAAAGTATATGCGGGGATACAATATGTTAACCAAACAAAATATGAAAACTTAGTTTTTTATTTAGAATAAAATATATATTTTAATAATTTGTATAAAAAAAATACTTAAGAAAAAGAACAAAAAATGTTCAAACCGATTTTCAAGCTTAAGTTTTTTTATCAAGCTTTAAGTAATGGATATTTCTTAAACCCAAACAAAATGATTTATCGAATCATCGAGTTGCCGATTCAACCACATATTTGGATCATATATAAAAGATTGATTTGAAGACATAATAGTTTTTGTAATTACTGCACTAATGTGCCATCTTCTTTGAAGATTTTTTGTATTTTATAACTAGTAAAAAGACATTTTTTCCAAAGATTTGATCTCAGATGAATCACTATTAATAGGAGTGCAAAAAAAAACAAGCATTTTCACGCACACAAAGCGTGGTAGGAACTAATAAAAAATATTTAACCACAATAAATAAATAAAATTTTAAGGACCCATGTATATATATATATATGAATGTGATTAAAATGGGAGTGGACAAACCAAACAAAAAAAAACAAACCGAACCAGAAAAAGAAGGCCACGCTCTCTGTCACTTACTCCTATTGTCTTTCTTTCTCTCCCTTTATGATCCACATCCTCTCTTTCTAGATCTTCGATCAGCCTTTTAGCTTAAGTCCTAGCCAGAAAGGATTCATTTTTATTATCCTTCTTCTTCTTCTCTACTCTAAACGTTTTTTATTCCTACAGGTATGATCCTTTTGCTTATGTGTTTTTTTTTTAATCTGATGGTAGTTCTGCTCGCTGATTGCTTTGCTATCTATGTTATGATGTATTTTATCAGATGATCTTCTGTATTATTCCCTCGAGTAGATTATGATTCTGTTCTGTTCCGTTTTCTGAATAAACTATTCACGATTGTTCTTTGCAAACAAAAAAAAAAAGACTATTCATAATCGCGTGAAGATTCTATCTCATGATCTGTTTTGGTGCATTTTAGTGAGAAACATTTATATTTTACAAAAAAAAAGCATGTATACTAATATTGGATCCGATGTTTGTTAGGGTGCTCTGTTTCGCTTAGCTTTCTGTTTATTGTACGTAGATGCATAAAGTTGTTGTATGGGAGATCATTAATGAATAATCAAACATCATATGTATTCTGGTTTCTCTGTTTTTTTTTCTTTTTCAATATTAGATTTTTTTTGGGGGGGGGGGGGGTTTTTTGCTTTG